GGGGGGGGGGGCTGGGGGCCGCTCGAGCAGGGGTTTTGATTTGTTGAGGGAACGCGTGGCGATGTTTCAATTGTATGTTTTGTTTTTTTTTGGAAATCGTTAGTTGTTAGGGGGTGGATTGAGCTTCGGAGGAAGATTTCAAGGTTTTCTGAAAGTGTTTAATAAAGATTCGTTTGAGGAGACAAATATCGCGAAATTTTATTAAAATGTCAGTTACGAGTGAAAGAAAAATAAGTATGGGTTCGAGCCTATCCGACAGCAGGCATGTGACTGTTACTTTTTGCGTTAGTAGTCTTCTTTTTTCTACCAATTCCATTCGTAGTAAGCAGTGCCGGCAGAACAGCAATTTGTCATGTGGAGTGATTGCTAAGTATGAGGTGGTGAGTAGGCGGAGGGGGGAGAAAGAGGGGGATTCAGGGAATTGACATTCGAGGGGCACAAGGATCACGAGAGTCAAAAGAATCAACGATCCATTACAACCGTCACATGGGTCAGGTATTGGGCATGAGGGTTGCAAGAGTCGAATATGGAACAGATAAGGGCAAGATGAAAATGATGTGAATCCACCTTTAAAAACTCCAGTGGAACGATTTTTGAATCCTCATTACCAAGTAATGTAATAGGATGTCTATGTATGTTTTTATGTGCTGTAATCTTTTGTTTACAGTAATTGTAGAAAAAGAGAAATTCATTTCTTACTGTAATAAAAAAATACATATATAACATAGTATATATGTATATCTCATATATATATAATAAAAAAGTAGTGTTGCCTAACGCTAAAAAATTTTCAGGGTTCATAAGGGTCACGAGGGTCGCAAGGGTCATGGGGTTGCTAAGGGTCACGAGGGTAACAAGGTTTATAGGATTGCTAAGGGTCATAAAAGTTATGACGATACTAAGGATCATAAGAGTCATGGGAATACTACGGGTCATGGGGTTACTAAGGGTCATAAATGTCATGGGGATGTAAGGGTCATAAGAGTTATAAGGGTCAACATAATGGTCACAAATAGTAACCCTTAGAGTCATAGAGTTCAAAATAAAAAAGTAGTGTTGCCTAACGCTAAAAATTTTTTAGGGCTCATAAGGGTTATGATGGTCACAAGGGTCATGAGGTTGCGCTAAGGATCATAAGGGTCATGGGGTTGGTAAGGGTCATAAGGGTCATGGGGTTGCTAAGGGTCATAAGGGTTATAGGGTTGCTAAGGGTCATAAGAGTTATGGGAATACTAAGGGTCATAAATGTCGTGGGGATGTGAGGGTCATAAATTGAAATTTCGTCAAAAATTTAAAAAGAGTATTTGGAAGCCACTTCATTCGTTGATCATTTCAATGTTCCATTGCAGCTTCAATCGTTGCTTTTTTATTAAATTTATTGATGAAACTTTCATTTATGTGAAATTATCACCTGTTTTTCAGTCATTAAAATTTTCTGTGTATTGGGGTGTGAAAATTCGTGGATTACAAAACTGGCTGGGATTCTCTCTATTGTGAGATAAGCTTATAATTTTTGCTGGAGGGAAAAATAATCCTCCAATCCTCTATTTACGATTGAAAAACAATGAACATTCAGGCTAGGAGGCTACATCTTCTTTTCTGGAGATTTTTTTTAATGTTGTGATATTAATAATGGGGAGAAATTATGAGGAAAGGATAAAATCCATACTCTGAGTAATTGAGTTGAGTTTATTTGAGGGTTTTGTTTTTATTTTCAGAAGGAAGCTTTGTGGAGATTTGTATTGAGGATGTATTGTGGTGTGAAGATTCCTGGATTACAAAATCGGCTGGGATTCTCTCTATTGTGAGGTAAGTTTATAATTTTTTCGCCTGGAACTTACCTTAGAGCTGAACATAATGAGTGAGAGAAATAGAAATCATCTGCTGTCCAATGATTCGAAGAATTCAAATGAGATATCTGAAGAAGAGAGGGCTGTGAATTCTCGTTAAGATTTACAACCGAAATATCAGCATAGGACAAATAAAAGGAAAGAGAATCAAAGTTACTACATGCGTAATAGAGATAGGATTCTTCAGAAGTCTTCAATGAGACGCAACAGAAAGCGTGAAGGAAACCCATCTGTAGAGGATTTATGTTCATTATCTGAAAATGGAATCGGTGAACGGAGGAAGAAAAGAAGAAGAATAGAGTTCAATCGATATCGTCAGAGACGATTTCGTGAGGAACACTGCAAAGAAATCAATAGGAAGAGACAATTGTTTGGTTGGCATAGAGATCGACTCCGAGAAAAGAAAAGGAAAACAAAATAAAATCCTATCCATTTTCGAACCTATCGAGGTGCGGAGTGCTCAGAAAATGTGACATTGTTTGATTTAGGTGCTTTGAACCGTGAATGCCAATTTTGTGGAGCATTGTCGTTCAAATTAGAGAACGATCGAGTTACGCATAGTTGTTGTCATAATGGAAAAATAGCATTAGAAAATCCACCTATTTTTCTAAGAAAACTACGTCGACTGTTTCTCGCTAATAGTGCGAGAGGTATTCATTTCCGTCGGTTTATTCGTTTTTATAATAATTCTTTTGCTATGGCTTCATTCTGTCCTAAAGAGGAAGTTAATCATCATGGAGTTGGGTGTATGAAAATCGGTGGGCAATGCGTGTGTCACAACAAGTCTTATTTCAAACAATAAAATTGTACCCCGCAATGCTCAAATTTACTTATGCGAGCCTAATGAAGTAATCAAATTGAGACAATTCAAATCCGGTAATTCAAGGCTCTCAAAAATGATAACTAAAATTATGGAGACTAATGACTACGTGAAGCTCTATAGAAATATATTCGAGCAATATCGCAGAAATCCACGTCAAGAATCAGTAATTTATTTCTCACAATCAACATCCTCTGAAAATCAGCAAAAAAGATATGATCTACCTTGTGGATTAGGCGCAAGGAGTGAAGTAGGAGCCGTATTAGGAACCGGTAGAGAAGGGAATGTGCCACAGAATATTGAATTTAAAGTTTTTCCGAAGAATTCAATGCAATGTCAAACGATGCATAAATTAAGTCAACATGGAGAGCCTATGATGTTTCCATTATTATTCCCGAAAGGACATGGTGGATATTCTATACATACGAAAAATTTGGTAAAGATGAACAATCGACGTGTAACAGCGGTTCAATATTTTGGATGGCAGATGAGAGTTCTTAATGGTAATGCATTTAATCAATTTACTATGGCAGGAAAATTGACTCAACAACACATTATTTATGGTTACATCGTTAATGAATGGAATCGATTGAATTATTTTCGATCTAATCCCCATCAATTCCGTCGAGAAATTTTACAAGGCCTAATGGATCATGTCGAACAAAGTGCAGCAAATATATCAGATGATGTACGATTGGGACAAACCATTATACTTCGTTCGTCATTTGATGGAGGTCCGAGAGCAAAGTTTCAACATTGTCAAGATGCAATAGCGATGTCCCGAAGTATTGGTCG